CGATGATGAAGTAAAGAATCTGGCATTGGCGCAGACGTGGTACGAGTCTACGCGAATATGGTACAATGCCTTTTACTAATCTCGATCGTAATGAGGCATCCACCAACAGACTGGTGATGGACGAGTTGAATTACGACCGTCGTGCACTCGCTATTGAGAATATGGAGTTGGTTGCCAGTATGACAGATGAACAGCGAAATGTCTATGACTCGATAATGGACTCTGTTTACCGTACCTACGGCCGCATGTTTTTTGTTTATGGTTACGGCGGCACCGGAAAAACGTATGTCTGGAGGGCGTTGTCTTCTGCTTTGAGATCCAAAGGTGAAATTGTGTTGAACGTTGCATCGAGCGGTATTGTATCACTTTTGCTTCCCGGCGGACGCACTGCGCATTCCCGATTCAGAATCCCAATAAACCCAATAGAAGGCTCTACATGCGATATTAGCCAGCAGAGTCCTTTGGCCGAGTCGATCATACGATGTCGGTTGATTATTTGGGATGAAGCCCCGATGATGAACAAATATTGCTTCCAGGCAATTGACCTTGCGAGCCTTAATGGAAGCAGTTGATCCATCAAGGAAAAATCTACCATTTGGCGGCAAGTGTGTTGTGTTAGGTGGCGATTTCAGACAGATACTCCTCGTTGTTCCTAAAGGCAGTCGAAGCGACATAGTTAATGCGGCCATCAATTCATCCAAGTTGTGGCGCGATTGTATTGTTCTGAGACTGACTCGGAATATGAGGCTTCGAAGCCTTGGTGGGGACGATGAGTACAATGAGTTGAGGATTTTCTCTAAATGGCTTGCAAGCATCGGTGACGGTACAATCGGTGGATCGAACGACGGTTGTGCCGATATCGACATACCCGACGATTTTCTTCTATACTCACAAGGGGATCCTATTGGTACTATTGTTGAGAGTACCTACCCAATGTTTAGGAGTGTAGGTGATGATCTTAGCTATCTGAAGGACAGAGCCATACTCGCTCCCACACTTGATGTGGTTGAGTCCATTAACGAGTACATGAGCTCACTGAACTCATCCGAGGGAAGGACTTACTTGAGTTCGGACACCCCATGCAAGTCAGATGCTGGATATGATTCTCTTCAGGATCTTCACACTCCAGAGTTTCTCAATTGGATCAAGTGCTCTGGCCTTCCGAATCATAAACTGCACCTTAAGGTCGGCACTCCAGTCATGCTTCTCAGAAATATTGATCACTCAATGGGGTTGTGCAACGGTAATGTTAATCGAAATTCAATTTGTCATCTTTATTTCCTTTTATCTTTGTACAATTTTAATTGATATGATTTTGTTTTCCGAGTTTTGATGTCAACAAGTACACGGTTGGTTATCACTAAGCTTAGCAGCCATGTCCTCGAATGTAGGATATTAACCGGTGCAAGAGCTGGTGACAAGGTTCTTATTCCTAGGCTCACAATCATACCATCCAATTTGAGGGTACCGTTTAAATTTCAACATAGGCAATTTTCGCTCATGGTTTCATATGCTATGACTATCAACAAGAGTCAAGACCAGTCATTATCACACGTCGGCTTACTATTGAAAAACCCTGTATTCAGTCATGGATAGTTGTACGTGGCACTATCTAGAGTCACAAATTGGAGGGGACTGAAGATAATGATCTGTGGTGATGGAGATTTTGACAATAGGAAAACCACAAACGTTGTATATAAAGAAGTGTTTAATAATATTTAGAATTATTTTTTTTTGCTTAAAATTTTCTCAATGATCATGTTATGCATTTTTGTATATAAGGAAGTGTTCAATAATATTTATATTTTTTTCCAGGGCTTTTACCAAGTGATATTGTTATTATTTTTTTCCTATTTTTTACAATTTAGTTTATTTTTTCTTCTATCACATAGCTTTCTGTGGAAATAAAAAAAAAAAAATTGGTTAGTTTTTCGTGCAAATGCACGGGTTGCAACTAGTATAATATAATTGACGTTGGAGAAGTGCATAAAATGAAAATCTATATTGCCTGAAGACAATTCATTTATATTCATTTTTCAACAAAAAAAATAAAAAAATAAATAACTTTAGTTCTTTGGAGTTCACAAAAGAAGTATAGATTACATATGAATGTTTCCTCAATTTCAGCTGACTCTATAAGAAGTTATTGAAGAATAATTGTCATTTAAGCTAAGCCCAGGGAAGAAAGCCTGGATATGGTACAGTACCACAGTATCTAAACAAACCTGAAATTTCAGGACACCCATTAGGGTACGGTATCGAGCGGTGAAAAGGATCACGCCCGATTTTTTTTCGGCTTAATACACCTAAACAACCGTAAGGATCGTCTTGAAATTGAGTCCTCACGAGGGCCTCGCCTTTTAATGCAGCCTCCCTAGAGTTTTGAGAAGATGGCGTGCCTGAGTAGAAAAACTTTTCCTCCGGGAACTTAATTGCCGACCGATGTAGATGAACAAACCTCTCCTCTTTGAAGTCATAACCTACAACCTGAACAAAAAACGAAAAAAAAAGAAACAATGAGAACAAAATGAACTTCGACTTTTTGAACTATATAAATATCATAAAACTTAAGACAAAACTTACAGTTATATTCTGTGGATATGCACCAGTCAGCTCTCGAAACCGACAGAGGCTAAAAAGAAGATTCTCGAAGCTGTCTCGAGCATGTTCTTCGGTTAGTGCCCTATCTCTCACACTGTCTCGCTTGCCTTTACAAGTTTCAACATGGTAATGGTTTAAACGAAAAAGGTAACTATCATAATTGTGATGCAAACTCACAAATATGAGATTAATCAGAATTAATAAAATCAAAAACCAATGTCAAAAAACAGTAATCACACATAAAGGGGGAAAAATCAATATCCAAAAAAGGAAACCAAAAATGAAGTCATGCAGTACCCTAAAACTCGAGTCTTTAAGAAACAAATACTTAGATTTCAGTATAAATAATTACTAAAGATGAGCTAATGAAAATTAATAACTCGTTTCCATAATAAATATACATTTCTTGATTCAACTCTGCCTTCTTACATTAATCTATACAAAACCAGGACCAGGAAGGAAGACAACTGCATTAGGTTCGCATCAATCATGCCTAGTTTTCTAAGAGAATTAACCATCGACGTAAATTCTATCAACTAGGCATAAGCAAAACGGTTAAAAACTATACCACCTCAACACAATTGTCGTAAATATTCAAGTTACAAAGCACATTATTATTTCTACAGAGTTAGATCACAACCTTTTCACAGTTATTGATTCTGCTAAATATATGAAGGAATACGAGAAGTTGGGAAACTTCAATTATATAATTACACAAAAATTATGCCAGCCAAGCTCAGTACCAAAACTTTACCAACTATTATGAACCCTAACTCGATCTTCCCGGCCATGAAAATTCAGTTAAGCAAGCAGGCATTTCAATTCAATTCACTTATTTCATTACCTTAAAACGTCACTAATTCCATCTCCCCACTTTCAAGAAACCATTATTTCGTCATACCAAACAATGATCACATTCAATAGTACTTCAACACATCATATTTTTCACAACATTGTCCTAAAAGCAAGACAATAACTCACTCACCAAACCACTGCTTCGACTCGGCCACCGTCCAATAACTCTGAGCCTCACTTCGCGGGCCGGCCTCCTTCCGGGTTTCGCCTCCACTGAACAACAGCAATGCCACATCATCATCTGCCGCGATCTCGACTCCCTTCTGTATATGCTGAACAAAAGTTGCAGCTTGGCCCGGATGCTTCTGATACGGCTCCAAGTACCAAGCATTCTCCTCGTCAACCTTCTCACACCTACTGCTCGTATATACCGAATGCCCGGCCACCATTACAAGGTTCCTAAGCTTAGCAAAAGGGTAAATGTCCCTTTTTTCAGAAAAGGCCCTGTAATTACGCATAGTTCTGTACTGGTCATGGTACACAGACAACACAATGAGGATTGCAACACCAAATGACAGGCAAAGCAAGAAGATCATAACTGGGTGAAGCTTATAATAGTGAGTGAACAAATTTCCCAACGATTTCATCTTCTGCAAAAAGGGATTGTTCTTGGGTTTTCGAGATTTCTTCGAAACCCCAGATTCCAAGTCGAAATCACCTCTTGGGTACGCGTGGAATGATTTAGGGCTGTTGTTGCCGGGCCCAAATGTGTAATCGATCTTCATAGATTTTTGGGATCCGAATTACAGCAGAAGGGCCCGACAAATCAAGAACATAAAAATACAACGCCCACCATAGAAATTCAACCCACCACGAAGCAATCTGGGGGTAAAAATTCAAGAAACTGAGAAGGGTTTATGGAGATTACAAATGATGAGAAAAAAAAGGTCGGATTTTGAGGCAAGCAAAGGTGAAATTGGATGGTTGAAGAAACTTTTAATGGGAAAATAACCAGGAGAAATTGGAACAAGAAGAAATCAAGGAACGTGAACACGAAGACTGGAGGGAGTGGTCACATTTCTAATTATTTATTAATTTTTGTATTTAGTCAAATGAACTTATACGCCGTGAGATTTTACATTTGCACTTTACTGGAATATTAGTAAGAAGAAAGGTATCTACACAACGTGAAACTCTTATTTATATTCGCTTTTGCTATAAAGCCAACAGTTGGCTCTATAGTGGAGTCAACTTTCTATATACAACAAATAAACGGAGGACAACAAATGTGCAAAGGAGCACCCACTACTTGAATACAAACAGGCAACAGTTGAATACAAACAACCAATAGCTGAATAAAAAACGGAGGACAATCCACAAACCGCCTAGATCCGACTCCAACAAGGTAATCATCGGGAAAACAACAAAAACTAGGTCACTAAAAAACTAAGACAAACACAAAGACGACCCCAACAGGGTAATGCTCGAGTGTGCGATTCCAACATGATAATAAAGTTACACTCGGACTAACTGAATCCAATGGCCCGAACCTAAAACACAAAGACAAATACAAGACGAACACAAACACTTACAACACAAAACAATAACAAAAAACTAAATAAAACATAGGCAGCCAATCACGGTGTTGGTCATATTAAATTCATGGAAGGGAGTTTACATATTTACCTTATAGTTTGGATGTTCAAATGATTTTATTTATTTATCTATTTATTTTAGGTATTTGAGGGGTGCTGACGGTTCACATAGTGGGAGCTCGAGGAATTAGAGAATGAAATTTTTAATATTTTTTTTTATGAAACAGTGCTCTTGTTTGTGATGTTTTTTAGTATGTGTTGGTTGTTGTGTTTCGTTGTTTCGTTTGCGTTAATAGTGTTGTTCAAATCCTACAAAATCGATATGTTTACAAATTTATGATTGTATGGCATAAATTGAGTTTTTCTACTCAGTTTCAAATATTATGTTGTCTAACTTGTTACTTTAATTTTACAGAATTTGATTTAAAATAATTTTAAATTATTTAATTAGATTGAATTTAATTTTATAATAATTAAATATATGATGGGAATAGAATTTTCTATTTATTGTTTGATAAAAAAAATTAAATAACAAAGAAAAAAAATGATATAGGATAATATTTGGACTTCTTTTCTAGTTTGATCAGTAGTTTGACTAAAAGTTTGTCATTGAATAAATTGGTATGAAGTATATGTTGAAATTGGTTTATGAAAGTGATTGAAAAAAATTGGATGATTTTGATTTGTAAAAAATAAAAACAATAATATAGTTCTACTTTAAAATTTCAATCTTTCCATTATTTTTTGAACATTGACAACGATAGAGTGGTTTAATTTTTTTTTTTTTTTAAAAAAAATCAAAACTGCAAGGTCAATAAAATTCTTAAAAAAAAATATTGTGTAAAGAGAAATGTTTAATAATATATTTTTTTTCATTGTTTGTATTTATTTTATTTCCATAGTGATATGAGAAATGAAAATGTAACAATTAAAGGTTTAAAATAAGAGCCTATATGCACTGGCATGTATGTATGTATGTAGGTATGTATGTGTGTGTGTGTGTGTATGGTAATTTTCTCTTAGCTCCTTCGGCCGCTACTCAAAAAGAAAAAATCAATGATAAAACATTTTTGTCGATAGCCATGTTTAAGTCAATCAGGATTCTCTTGGTTGTTTCCACTCATATGGATGATGAAATTTCATAGATAATGTCAAGACAACTTTCCTTAGAAGGGATTATGGATGAGGGCATCTCTTTGCAGCAACAAGAGGATTTCATCGCAAAGGGCCCAGAGCATATGGTATGTAATACAAGTCTCGCACCCGGCCCGGCTGGAATTCGCCTTGAGCTTACTCTTCTCGCCGGTTGGACGCGGAACCTGCACGAAACTCCCACACCGGAGGTGTTTTCCGGTGAAGAGCCTCCAACGCTCAAGTCAGATCTTGAGAGATAATATCAGTATA